CCCGCGACTACAGCCTCGTGACGGCCAGCTGCGGCTTCGGCAAAGACTTCCGCAAGGGCATCCTCAAGAAGGGCATGTGCTACGGCGACGACGCCTGCTTCGTGGCCCGGCACCGCTCGGCCGACGTGCTCGGTAAGTGCCCCGTGTCCACCACAGCCCGCGAGGCCTCCCCGCGGCACCGCGGGCCCCTTTGTCACCCCCCAAAGATCCCCCACTGCTCTTAGCTGCCGTGTGACACCCCCTTTGCCCTCAGGCTGCCACCAAGAGGAGCCGCCAGCTGAGGCCCAACCTTGTCGTGACACCCGTCGGTGCCCCCAAGGCCTGGTGGCCCTTGGGAAACCCCCCGGGGCAGCCTTGGCCTCGCTGCTGCCTTTGAAGCCCCGCCAGGCCCCGCGGATCCCGCTGGGACGCGCGAGGCGAAGGCCGCGGCACTTCCTTATTTTAGCCCATGCCGCGTCCTTGTCAAGCGAAAGGCAAAGTGACATTGAGACCGGCTTCAAATGTCAGGCGGCGATTCCGGGATTGCTCCGGGCCTGGCCGCGCGGCCCGGCCTGCCTCTGTGTGCAGGGCGAATCTTGAAAGGCTTCGGGCTTCAGCAGAGCCGATAATTCCAGCAAATCAATGGGATATTCGGCTTTTGAGCCGTGTTGTTTCTGACAGTGCTTGACCTTTCCTCTCTAGTCAAGGTTGAACGTGGCTAACTGAAAACTTGGAAAAGTTAGTTTTTGAGCCTCTGGGTGACAAAAATAACTTTATGCTGCGACTCTTCTCCTTTAGGAGAAACCCCCCTTCCCTCCCGTATCTACTGAAAAATGGTTGGATTTTGCTGAGGTGTGTCATGGTGTTACAGTGCCTGCTTGATACTTAGGAATTTCGTGCTGTTGTTGTAATCTGATTACATTTTAATATAGCAGACCTTATTGCAGGAGACTGTACCCTGGTGCTAGGTAACAGTGTTACGGGTGATTCTTACGGGAGCTGTAGGTGATCTCTTAGTTATCAAAGAGATAGGGAAGCTTTATCAATGCATTAAGTAATCTGCATCTCTCCCTCGTGCCTGCTCTACAGTAACTTTTTTTTTTTTTTTTCGCTAGAAGTAGCTCTTGGACACTGATATTTGAACATGTGATTTAACCCTGGCTGCCCTTAAAGTTCATACAAGGTCAACACCGATAAATAGCTGAGCAATTGGTGCTCATGGGAGAAAGGCAGAGTCTGCCCTGCTGATAGTGGGCTCCTTGCACAGGCAATAGGGTGTATTTCAAACCATCTGCTCATGTTTAGGGGGGATTGGCCATATTTGGTAGTTGCCATATGTGGACTTGCAGCCCATTTTATCATCCTGCTGGAATCGGCAGAGAATTGCATTACTAAGTTGGTCTTTGCATTATTTTTCACGGCAACTTGGTGACAAACGTAACTGTAACTGCACTAAGGATCAAACAGCAAACAAGGCTTCACACCGGCATGTTTTAAGTATCAAAAGAAAAACAGAATTTAAATAGAAATCTTTTTTTGTGAGTCCATTTTCTTTTTCTTTAAATCCCTTTTATAATGCTCATGCAGGAATAAACCAAAATCGCTGCATTTTCCGCAAACATTAGCGCTCGGGATGGTTTTTGGTGCAGTCTAAGTTGTTGCATTTTCTTTGTGTGCAGTTGGAGCCTCCTCCTTTCAGCTACAGCGATTGCCTCTTTGTTCTCCCTTTCTCAGCAGCTCCTTACGCTGCTGCAAAAGGAGGTTCAGCACCAGGGTTTCCCTGTCCTTGGGTCTCTCATCACAATATTGTCACAATCTCTCATTGTGATGGGTCTTCTTGGACATTCCATCTTTTAGTGAACCGCGTAACGTTTGTACTGAGTTGGCACACCACAGAATTGTCTGGACTGTTGCCATTTCAACTTTCCAAATGATTACTGTTAGTTTAATGAATAGTATAAGTGAATATAGCATACACTAAGGGTGTTTTTAGAGAAGAGTGAATTTCGAGTGTATTGCTTAGATTTAGTCCACCCTGGTAGCCATCAGGGACGGAGCCGTGCCAGATAATTAATTTAAAATGATTCTGTGCCAATCTCTTGCAGAATCAACCCATGGAAAGTGGGGCTGTGCGGGGTGCGCCGGGTGTGGTGCGGCAGTGGAAGGGCTGCTCCCAGCTCCTTGGCATGGAGATTGCGGATTCGTTTTCCTTGGTCAAACAAAAGCTGGCCAGAGCTAGAGAGGCTGCATGTTAGAAGCAGAGATCTATTTAAATAATAATAATAATAATAAAAATGCTAAGCATGCTCAGTTGTTTGTTTCATGTATTCTGCAAAGGTTGAAAATTTGACAGTGTTTTCTAGCCTCCACTTTATACTTTCATAGTAAGATCAACAGAAACCTTAGGAATGATCATGCTTTTTCCAGCCCTCCTGTAGATGTTACAGGCTCTATAGGGACTGTTATTGGTGTGCTTGAGTCTTTGGGTCTTTGTCTCTTAATTGTTTTTTTCTTCTGGCTCTTGCCTACCTGTGAGATTTGAATGTTTTCTTCTTGTCCTGAGCACAGGAAGGAACAAGAAACTCAAAGCCAGGGTGTTTCCTTTGGGATGCCTCTGAGAAAAGGAAATAGTTCTGCTCCCAAGATTCATCTCTGTTCTTGGAGCCTCCTGCTTGATGCCAGTGCTGGCTTGTGCTGTCGTTTGTACCATCTTGTACCTTTCTGTGTGTTCACTGCAGCTTCTTGGCTGCCCAGATCCTCACGTAGAGGATGAAATGGTCAAAATATTTGAATTATCTTCTTGGCTCTGTAAACATGTGCGTAGTGGTTCATATTTGAAAGTCTTTCTTTTAATCTGTGAAGCTAGATAAGTACATTTTTCAAAACGAAATCCCAAAACTTCAGAAACTGACACGTTCATTTTTTTCTAATTATCATCTGGGGGGATTTTTAAAGAGTGCAGAGAGCAAAGTATAACCTGTTATAACAGATTTAAGTCTTTGTATAAGCATTTCACTTAACAAAGCTAACTTTTGAAACTTGTTTATAAATACTGAGATGTCTTGTGCTAGTGATTTTTTTTTTCCCCCCTTGTTTTGGGGATCTGCCTTTTCTTGCTTATTCCTTATCAGGCTTCTGATGTCTTTGCTCGTTTTTATGTATTTTCCAAGCTGTTGTGTGACTCACTGCTGAAACATTGCAGCAACCGATCTGCATCCCGTGACAGCATCAAAGTCTGCACGGGGTGAGAGTTTGGGTGTAGCCAGGATGACTTGATCAGTGTTTCTAAACTATTCATGTCCCCTCAACAGTAGTAGGGAACCGTTTGTCCACTACAAAGTTAAGATTTGGCAGTCGTTCTTTCAGCTGCAAATCCTAATTCAAATCTGAAAAATAAGTATATCAGCAGCCTTAGTATGGGGTATAAACCCTGAGAGGGATGAGGCCCCTTGCTGGTTGTTAGTCTCACTGTATCAAGAAAAAAAGGCACCAAAAAAAGTAAACTAAAAACATAAAAGGAGTTGTTTAAATGTCAGGGTTGCCTTGGCAGTTATACATTACGAAGCGATTCTCTCTGATGCCTGAAGGTCACATGAGACCATGTTAAGTGGCTTATTTGGTGTCATATCTATTAAAGAGATTGCTGCTAGAACTTACCAAACTAAAGCAGGGAAGTGATCTGCATGGGTCACCTGCTTGCTGCAGAAACTTAGCATGGTTTATATTGAGTATTCAGTGTTTTGGAGAGAAAAACAAAAAAACACCCGACATGCAATGGTCCAGGAATGTGAAAAGAAATTCTCTTACTGTCACTTATACAGTTAACTACAGATTATTGAGAAACATGCCCATTAGCAGTTATATTCACTGACACACTTGTCAGTACAGCTGATCCAAATGTCAGCGGAGCTATTCTTAAGTAGCATAGTATGTAACCTCTTAGAAATGCAGCTGCCCTCCGAGGATGAAGCTAAAATCTGATTCTTTAGCACAGTTTCTGTAAGAACAGATCATGCTCTGAAGAGAATTTGCAATTGAATGTTGATTTTTTTTATTACTATCATTGTGGCACGTGCCATTGCTGCTTGTTGGTGGTGGACAATGTTCTCTTCCCAAGCAGATTTTAAGAGTTGCTGCTTGAAAGAAAAGCAGGTTTTGTGAGAAAACACAGAAAGAAATAAGCCAAGCAGAGCGCAAGTACAGTAGGTGAGGCATTAATCATACTTATGTTGCAGGAAATACTGCAAAAATTTCCTGCCATTTACCTTGGTTCTTCGGAACTATTAATGTGTGAGCCTGAGATCATTCAGATTGCAAGTCCTTTCAGTACAGCGTGTCTCTGTTCTACCTTCCCTACCCCATTTCAGCATTTAATTGTCAACTGCCAGTAGCAGTTCAGCTATAAAAAGTTTCCAGGTTGTTCTAGCTGTGTTTTTACAGAACTTCTGGAGATCACCATACCTTCCCGGAACTCTCAAAATCACTGAGTGATTTCTCAGACTTCAATAAAATGGATGAGATCCTCCTGTAAAAACCTGTTTCAGGAACAAGGATGGGTTTTAACAGGAATAAAAATGATGTAAGGAGCTTCTGCTTTTGCCTGGGACTAGATGTGCAATTCAATTTTTGTTAGTTCCCTGTTACTCCTTTCATAGGTTCTTCAATTTTGTCTCTGTTGTCTATTTTTTCATAATTCTCATTTAGCTAGTTATTCTTGCAGAATCTTTAATGCAAGTATAGTTAAGGACTAGCATAACTTCTGAAATGCATAATGTGGATAAATAACCTTCCATAACCTTCCATTTTGTAAGTTATCGGTCAAACACAATCTGCCCTTAGGAATTTGTTATAGTTACATAGAGAAATAACTGTGTTATTTTATGTCAAAACTCAATAGAGGAAGAGAACAGAACAATAAAATTGCAATTCCCAACATGCTGCTGTTGAAGCTGCTAGAAAAGTTAGCACTGACCTGAAGCTCGTGACTTGTTTAGGAAGGAGAGTGTATCTAGGTGTGTAATTTATTTTGTCACTGATAACGTATCAGAGTCCAGATAAACTGATTTGTGTTATATTTTGACAAGTATTAGGTGCTGTATTTTGAACTTCTGTGTAGTACAATAGATCACCCCTTAACATTTCAGTCTTCTATTATGATGCAAAATAAAGCTTTTTGCATAAATATATCCTTTTGATGTTCTTTTATCAGTTGTTCAAGGCTAATTCAGGTAAGGAGGCTGAGACACTGAAAGCTCGTTAGGATAAGTGGAATGTCTTGTAGTGTTAATTGTGGTTGCTT